CAGTGGCGTGCAGTCCATATAGGCAAAAAGGCTTTGCCTACCTTACAAATACCGTGAATAACACTACGTAATAAAAGATATAAACATTTTAATTTTACTACAGAATACTAAAATAATAATTATAATAAAATTAGTGAACGCCTAAAATAAATAGTATAGCAACAATGATGGCGCGCGATACGTGTTGCATTTCGCCAGGCGTACCGTATATAGCTGTAAACATTAACGCGCGAGGCAGGCACGCGGTTCCGTCGCCTGCAAACCATTCATAAATTTAAGCGTGTAGTGGTGAACGTCATTGTGTGCGTAGTGCACAGACGCGTTTATTTTATCGTCGCGAAGCTTGCCTGCAGGCACGGCCTGACGACTCGTGATTGAAGTTCGCCGCGAGCCGACCAATCACGTTCCGTGTCTTGGTTTACTCATTGGTCGCCTCGCAGCGAACTTCACGCCGCTCGCGCGTGACAATTTTTTTGTTTTTGTTTACGTGCGATGCGTGGATTTTCGGATAATTTTGTTATTTGATTTAGAATACGATTAGTAATTCTACGCAAATAATTTGTAGTAAACGGTATAAAATTGTCTATTTATATAAGTACATTTTATTACTGTGTTTGTTTATTTGTTAATTGATTTTGCAAAGTTATACGAAGAACTGTGAAGTTTGTATTGACAAAAGTTGGTAAAGAATTATAAACTATCGCAGACCATCGCTTAGTGATTAGATTGTGTGTGAGTTTTTCTTCTGATAGTCTTGTCTTGGTAAGTTCTATGAAAGTTACTTTATTTTAATGTGATTAGGTTATGTAACATAAGTAGGTACCTACGCGGAGCTTCCCGTCGCGGCAACTCAGTCAGTAAAAATAACGAAGCTTTAAGTAATATGTTATGTACTAATTATAAAATGAAATGAAGAAGAATAAGCTAGGTAAATGAATGTTTAATAATACTAAAAAATGTACTACCGCTTACTCGGCTCGGCCGCAGCCGGCCGCGCTCGGTTCGATTTTTCTATTAGTCATACCCAAGTTCTTAAAATCATAATATCTCTTGAATAGATGAACCAAACTTATTAATTCGAAGAATTAAATTAAAAGAGTAAAGAATTCGTAATATTCTTGTATTAAACGTGAGAAGGCTGGACAGGCCGCCAGTTCAGTACAATTTTTAGAATGAACAATTCGTTACTGCTACTGAATTGATAACATAAATTAGATTAATCGTTATACAGCACCTCGAGTAGGTAATTATGCAGATTGGTTTTACAAATCTAAAGAGAAAAATAGAATATTAATGTTTTTAAGTTGTTAGAGTAATCAATAAGTTGATGTAATACTTCACGAAAACAACGAGAGATGGCACTGTTACAAAGAATTGACGAAAGATTAAAAACCTCATAAGTTGAATTATGTTATGTATTTACGATGTGTTTAATCATAATACAATATTATGTTGCCTACCCTGTTCTAAAACCCTGTGCACGCCACTGGTGACAAGGGAATGTTACGCTGGTTTGGACATGTAGAAAGGATGGATGACAGTAGAGTAAAGAAAGAAGTATACAGAGCGGATATGAATGGGGCCGTCGCGTCGGTAGAGGGCGCCCTCCACGGACATATTAAAAGTACCCTTAACCGACGAGCATGCATGAAAAGATTGATGAAGCTGTTATTGAAGCGAAAGAGGTATGTAAGAATCGTAGTAATTGGTGTTCCTTTTTCTCTGCCTACCCCCATGGGATGATATTGAAAAATAGTTACAACTTTAGTTATACTTGTGTTAGAACTTTAGTTGCCGATATACTTAATTTTCGATTTATTCTAGCATTGTTTTTAAATATAAGTGTGCTATTTGACGCGAAAATATGATGACGTTATAAGCTGGTATTTCGTACAAAATTCATAGAACAGTATCGTTTTTGACGTTTCGATAAAAGTATTGAATTTGATTAATTGTCAATTACCGTATTGTATTGTGAACTTGATTGGAAAAGAGTAAGCTATGGAGTTTCTTATCTTGGTATGAGCAAACAGTTTCACTTTTATTTTTTTGTTGACGTGAAAAGTGCCTTTATGGTCTAATTGAAATAAATGATTTTGACATGACTTTGACTTTGAAGGGGTAGGCAGCGGTGTACATTACGGCACTTAATGTCACTGTACAATGTAACACCCACTTTCCACTATTTATGTTATGAGTCCCTTGTAATAGGGGTGAGCCTATACCGGGCACAATTCCAGACTCCGTGCTATTACTGACAATTTATAAAAAAAAACCCAGCAATATTTTGCCCGACCCGGGAATCGAACCCGAAACCCCTTGCCCGGCACTACTAGTCGCACTTGCGACCACTCGGACTAATAAACGAATGCTATTAATGTAATGTAACATTATGTTCGTCAGATATAACACTAGAGGAGCAGTTGATGGCAGCCAGCGACACTGGCTTGGAGAGTGACCTTCAGACCGATGCCGGTTCCGGATACTCGTCCCAGGCGTTACGGGTAACTACACTCTCACACACAATAAATACACATGAAAAACTCAAACTTTCTTCATCATCATCATCATAACATCACGCCTATTATCCCCGAAGGGGTAGGCAAAGGTGCACACAGAAGTAACACCCACTTTTCACATTTATGTTATGCGTTCCATGTAATAGGGGGTGAGCCTATTGCCATATACCGGGCACAATTCCAGACTCCGTGCTACTACTGAAATTAATCCAGTAATACCCGAGAGCCCTTGCCCGGCAGTCGGACTTGCGACCAACGAGGCAGAGCAGCGGTGATTCACAGTAGTGTAAAAATCTGGGTCGGTCACAATATGAAAATTAAAAATTAATCAATGTAATGTAACTAAGAATATTATAGCGTGTTTCTTTGTCAACCTAACAATATACCAAATAAAAAAAATGCAGTCACCAAAAAAACAGCTTCCAATACATAATTTAATCGTCGCGGAGAACCTAACGGGTTACCGGGGCTCCGGATCGAAGTGCAGGAGTAGGAATGGAGTGGTTTTTAGGCAGTAAGAGTCTGACACTCCCTTCCGCCGGGAGAAGTCATTCGATGATTTTCAACCCTTAAAAAGTACATAATTTATTCTACTTTAATTCTATTTCAGTTAATGAAGCCTGCGATATATGACTCCGAGGTGGAGGACTCTGCGGAGTCGAGCAGTGACGATGAGAGTCCACAGGTGCAACCGGTGGACAGTAACGAGACTCTAGTTGGGTCTGAGTACGGGTGAGACACATTGCTACCGCATCTAGACTAAACTACAATAGCTAGGCGCTTTGACACGTTAACATTTTAATACGAATCTAAATGGAGCCGGTACTTCTTATTTAATTAGTCTGCGAAGGTACACCGAAATCAACTCAGAGCAAAGTAAAATAAGAGCTAAGTCAAAGTCAAAGCATTTATTTCAATTAAACCGTAATTTGGTACTTTTGAAACGTCAACAAATACAAAATAAATAATAGTCTGTCAGTCAGTCCGTCAGTGAAGCTAGGTGCTCATTCCAAAATGTAGATTCGAATGGAGAAGAACGAACAATAAACTTCATTCGTTACTCTTTTAAAAAAAAATTGTTCTACAATGTCTCTAATATTGTACGTTTATGTGAGAACAATGCAAAGACACGCATTATACAAAATTGACTTAAATAAAAAAAATAAAAACAAAACAAAAAAATGATTTAATTAAACCCTTTGGTTGCAGAACATACAAACATCAATGTTTCGTTATCTTTTTTACCGAATTCAAAAAAGGAGGAACTACTTATTTTAACAATTCACTGTAATACTTATGTCGAAATACTGAAACGCTACTCAATTTTAAGTCGTGCTTAAGTATAGTTCTATCTCTACAAATTCTTTGTAAAGTGACAGAGATGGCACGATATTTGGGCACGACTTAAAATTGAGTAACGTTTCAGTATTCCGGCATTAGAAATGTATATCGACCATTATATGAGACTAAAGACGTAACTAAAAATCTTATTATAGCCGAGACTCCACTCTATAAACACAGTCAGTAGTTTAGTATAGTTTCTGTCTTCTTCTAACTATGTGTAACGTTCGTTTCAGTTCGATAAATAATGCGCCCGAGGGGACGTCCTCTAAGAAGAAGTTCTTGCGCATGGTCGACAAGATAGCAACCAACAAATACTTCCAACAGGTATGTGGACAGGCTTATGTTATTTTTTAATGTTGTCTCGTAATAATATACAAGTTTTGGACACTTACTTTTTAATTTTTTATTATTATAATTACATCTAACATAGGAAACTTAGACGGTACTTAGATTTGAAATTTCCCAGGACACCATGTCTAAATAATTTTTTACTTAAACTACTGAAAATTAATAAAAAAACCCCTGTAATACTTTACCCGACTTGGGAATTAAACCCGAGACCCTATGCCCTGCACTCGCACTTGCGACCAATCGGCCAACGAGGCAGTTACTGCCTTTTAATAAAGAAATTTGACTAAAAAGGATAGGTTGCATCCTTTTTTAGGTAGGCCTGCCGCCCACTGTACATCAATTTTTTGAATCGTATACGTAATACTCGTTCGATCCGTATTAATATCTATATTTTTATTGACTAGGTGACGGACTACAAGTACGTGAAACGTGCGATGGAAGGTCTGTCGAACACAGACATCAAGCTACACCTGGAGGTGCACGCCTTGGAGGGACGACTCGTCCTCAACCTGCCGCCGCCGCCGCATGATAGACTGTGGATCGGGTGAGATATTATACGATCATTTAATAATATTTAACGAAGAACTTGTTATATAATATGCAAGCAAAACGTAAGCCTTTCAAAGGACTTAGTATGAGTTAATTTTACGCATTATCGGCGGTCTGATTGGCCGGCTCCCAATGAACCAACGAATCAGAACGCCGAACGTATCGTTTCGATTATTTTAAACTTAAAACAAACTCATACTAAAGCCTTAGTCCTCGTCAACGAGCCATCAGACCACCACAGATGGGGCCCAGTAGGGCTGTTGCCCGTTACGGAGCCGCGGAAGACTTAACGGGTTACCGGGGCTCCGGCTCGAAAAGCAAGAACTCAAGTAGGAACGGGGATAGTATTTAGTCAATAACAGTCCCCTCTCGCCTCACCTGAGGCGGTAAAATCAACCAATGATTTCTCATTAGGTGATTTTTGCCCACTAAAACATGCAGTCCTCGGAGGGAAAAACAATGCCGACAATGACGCACCTTCTTTACAATATAATACTCAGTTTTCTCCAGTCATGTTATGAGTCCCGTGTAATGGGGACTTGGGAGTTCTGGAGTGCAGTAGTTGACTTTGACTTTGAGGCGCAACTTTTAGACTCTCAATTTTTCATATTGGTTGCACACATAAATATTGCAACTTCCCTTATAGACTTACAGTATATCCTATTTCTTATTAATATTATATGTAAATGCAAAAGTTTGTATGGTTGTTACTCCTTTACGTCAAAAACGGCTGAATGGATCGGGTTGAAATTTGGAACGGAGGTAGATTATGGTTTGAAACACATAGGCTACTCTGAATCGTACGGAATCGCTAAGCCGCTGGCGCTACTTCATAAATGTAACATTTTCGTTCAGGTTCCGTTCAAACCCGCAACTACTAGTGAAGGCCCGGCCGGCAGTGGGCGCCCGTACCCTCCGCTTCGCTCACATCACGAACTGGATCGAACAGAAACTCAGCAAAGAGTTCGAGAAGATTCTAGTTCTACCAAATATGGAGGACATCATCGTTGACGTCATGACTCCCACACCCGTGCAGTTCGAGTGAACTACGTACGTACAAATATAATTCTTATGTTCCATGTATAAAGATGAATTTTGAACTGAAGTTTTATTAGCAAATCTACAGATTTGCACGTTATGGTGGTGTTAAGCTACTTGTACGAGTTTAGACTTTATTACGATAGTGAAAAAGTTGATGTTCTATTTGACAGTTGAGGGTAGCTTGATGTGCTAATGTCTGTACACTGAATGTAATTATAAATTACGTTTAGTATGTAATATTATTTAAATATCTTATTAACGTGTGTCTAACAGACTCAAAGAAGGTTTATTTTGAAAGAAATTGAATCTGTTTGAATAATATAATGTATCTGATTTCGCTCATTCAGGGTATAAGTAAATTAAATTCTTATGCGTATTATTTGTTTAGACAGAAAATGTGTAATATTTAAACAATAAAAAGTATATCAAAAGTATTATGTTTATGAAAAAAGCTAAATTGTTATTTACATCTTTCAAATGCAATATGTACATCGATTTTACAATATTATGTTTAACTTAAAATTCGTAGAAGATCGATACGAATGCATATGGTATGTTAATTTTTATTATTTCAACTAAACACCAACTAGTTTGATTATAAAGAAAAATTTCTCATTTATTAATGTTCTTGGTAAACTTTATAAGATATAATTGGGTTTAATAATTAAATGGTATTCCATTTCATTAAAAGAGTCGCGGTTATGAATAAATTAATAATTATAATATAATATCATCTAAATTAAAATTTGCAAAAATATACAAATCTTTATTACAATATGAATAGTAATTAAACAAATACTATTCAATATCCATGCTAATAAGAATGTTATAAAAATGTTTAGCCTTCAATAAGTCTATAAAAAAATCTGTACTGGAACCATGCAAAAAAGAAGATTGACATAGTCAAGTAAAAATTCTAAAAAAACATACTTATACATAGTTGTTGCATTTTGTCTTTATAAGTTTATACATACGGGGATTGACGTATTTTCAAAATGTTTCAATACACTGCAAAAACAATAAACGATTATAAGTAACTCTCATAAGAGACACTTATACCTATTTAACTCGTCGAGTACCGGTTTTGTAGACACAATTATAGAACAATAGGTTGCGGTCACCGGTGACCGCTTGCTGTTTGACAGTTTAAATTAATTAAATTTACAGTTTGCGTGTAATTTCGGAAAACATCTACTAATTTCAAGACACACCGGGATATGATTCACGGTAACAGTTAAAAAAGGTAATTTCACGTTGAACTCCTTTGCAGTGTAGAAGGACAAAATACCATAATACCGAGCACTCGACCTAATTAATTGAACATGCGTAAAATTACGAAACTACCACTTATACATACAATGATTAGTATAACTAAAAATATATGAAAAATTAAATTTATTATAAAAACACTATGATTGTCTAGTTTAAGATAACACTAAAATTAGAATTAGCATTTAAAGAGATAGTTCTATTGTGAAATTTTCCTTTTCAAATGTTGACAAATTATTAATATTAATAATAATTATCCCTTTGTACAATACTTTATACACGTTAAACGTTAAAAATGTTAATAATAAAACATTGCCTAAACAAGGCGCCATGCTGTGTGCTAAACAACTTGTAGGAATTAATTTATTTCGCAATATATTAGTTTGGTCTTGAATAACATACCCCTTTCCGCATTTTCGTTGATTTCCCAGGCTTTTAGCTAATTCATTAAGGTAATTTATGCTAATAAATGCATGTATCTAGGCACTATATTCGACCTTAAGTGTCACTAGTATCGCATGCCAAGAATTGTATTTTACATTTAAGAACATTTATTTATGTATATTATGTTGATTTTAATGTTTATGTCCGTCGCCTCTGTATTTAATTGTATTATTTATGCATTAACTGTGATGTAACGCTTAGTTAGATCTATTAATAAACATTTTATTTTATTAATATTCCAAATATATTCGCACGATATTTCTGCTCTATATTACTTCGTTTCAACATTTCCTCTATTGCGTTTGAGGAAGTAATGAGTTCATCATCATCTATATCACCACTCGAACGAGCTTCCTCGCGTTACAAAATAAATATTTTCGACAATAATTCCGTCTTAACCTGTTATTTGTAGTTGCAATATCAAATTTTTATAAACGACAAGACTATGAGAAATTATAAAGAGTTGTATAACTATGAGAAATAAATTAATATTTTGAAAAATATTGACCTGAGCGATATAATTACGTACGTAGATGTTAGATCGTTAATATTTTTCTAGTAGTCAATAGACTTTCTAATGGTTTTTCTATATAGAAGTTTATCTCGAAAGTAATCGTTATCTACATCTCGGTGACATTCTGTCAACATTCTTTTCTAAATTGGTCGCACAATTAATTCTTTAATTGGCTTGCACTTAGCATAATGTTTACTTTATGCAGTTAGTTAGTGTATAAAACTGATATATAGCATTTTCACTTGGCAAGATAGTAGTTCCTGCAAAGATATGTGCCCTCTGAAATAAAATGAACTGAAATATTTTAAGTATTAATTTATTAAACTTTCCATATTCTTTTTTTCGCATTTTGGTGGGCAAATATCTGACATTGTAATTATATGAATGTAACTAGGTACTATCTAGGGGCGCGCAATACAAATGGAGATGGTTTGGAACTATGAAGGCTGAACGTACTTTGCTCATTGTGATGGCGAATGACAGTGGCGGTGTATGCTAAATTGTACGAATTTAATGTTTGTGAACGAGCGAGTGGGCTTCGGATCCAATTACCGAGTAAATGAAATATGTCTCCTATTACTCGGTAATTTGAATCCGTAACATTTAGTACTGCTTAGCATTAATTCACTTTTGTATTGCTACTATTATTATAAAATGTATTCACATGAAATGCCAAAAATGCCGTTGTAATAATAAACACTTGGTTTCTACTTACATATTTTGCATAAATAAATGTAAAAATCTTATGAATGTTTGGATCAATATTGTTGCCTACATCCACTGTTGGATGGTTTGGACAAATTCTAAAATTAATATTAATATCGATGTTTTCTTAAATAGTGTATGTATGTTGTAAGTTTTTGTTTACTGTGCCACAAGTAGACACTCCCCGAACTATGTAGTACACGGAGTTATATTGTGAAGTATTTGTAATATACATATCAGGGGGCCTAGTACGAGTTCGTTTTACATCTAATGAGATCGAAATGTTAGCGCGTTCTGATTGGCCTGCTCCAATGATCCAACCAATGAGAGGGTTAATCGCGATAACGTTTCAACCTCGTTGAACGTAATACAAACCCGTACTACGCCCTCAGTAAACGTTTTGTAAACTACGTACCTGTCTTTCCGTTTTATATGGAGTCTAGCAATCGATTCACATGGAAATAGTATTCAGTAGTTACGGCAAACGGGTTGTAGTTGAACATCTTTTAATTTTGTTTCGTCCATCGGTTGTTTATTCTGTAACCGATGTGACAAAATAATAATATTGTAAAATAATATCTTATATTGCGTTACGCATATTAATATTAACGATCCGATCCATATTTTATTTTTATTTATTTAAATAATTATATACATATATTGTTTCGTTGTTATTTTTTATTTAAACTCGAATGTAAAGGATTATTTGTTTTGTTTTTTTTATTATTTAAAGCTGCGATCACGTAGTGGTTGGTATGTTCACAAAGTGTACCAAATACGGATGAATGTCTATGTATATAGTCTATCAAATTATAAAGTGTTTATGTGATATTATATATAGTTAAGAGTTAAACCGTGCCGAGTAGTTTTTCTATGTGGTATCAGTTGTGATTTTTTCAATAAACGAATTGCTATATTCTATTGTATATTTATTTTATACTTATAACCTTGTTCCCTAATGGACTTTTAGAGAGAAATGATGTCTTCGGTTAAATCTCCGGAGTTGATTATTGTACCTACTTGGAGAATTTATCTACTATGAAAGTAATGTCCGGTCGTGTTCCCTGTGATAAATACAGCAGGCATCCAATGGCTTCTTGACATGGAATGTTATTAAAAACATAACATCATGCCTTTTATCCCCGAAGGGGTAGGCAGAGGTGCACACACCCACTTTTCACTATTATGTTATGAGTCCCATGTAATAGGGGGTGAGCCTATTGCCATATACCGGGCACATTTCCAGACACCGTGCTACTACTAAGATTTTTTTTTAAATCCCAGTAATACTTTGCGCGACCCGGGAATCCAACCCGAGACCCCTTGCCCGGCAGTCACACTTGCGACCACACGGCCAACGAGGCAGTCCAGTGTTATTCAAAATATCACGATCTTCCCCCCTTTTCAGCTTAGCATTCGCATCGGCAGGTGTCCACATCAGCTTACAATTGTTCATTTCAAACCTGGTAAGTATCTGTTTAATGTAAATGGATTGATAAATAGATACATATTTCATTTGATTTACAATTTACTGACCACTCACTGATGAAATCACAGAGATCCCTCAATGTCAGACACATCAATGAGTCAAGTCCCTACATATCTTAACGAATGCAAAATGTGTTGCCTATGCTTATTCCCGCACATTCACCAAAGTCTATGAGGATGGAACAGAGATGCAAGAGCACTATGAAGATGACAGCTCTGTAGAGGACGATGCAAGTGATGGAGGGAATGAAATTGTAAAGATTCTGAAGTCCAATGATCCGACTTCTTGCTACACACTCATACGATCCATAGACGGAGAGCTTCCGGAAAAAGTTCAGAAATTTGTGGTAAAGTCCATGTCAAATGTGTCGGACCCTAGAGAGGGAACCATGGAAGAACACAAAGTATTATCAACAGTATTCTCGGCTAAGTAATTTTATAATGATTATAAATCTACCTACAAAAAAAAATATCGATCCGTTAAAATATAAGGTACAATATGTAAGTTTTTTCAGCTCTTTACAGCGACTACGGAAAGGACCTTTAGTACTCGAACTGATGTACCTACATACAAAGAAAGAAAACGAAACGAGCAGGCAAAGGCTCGTTATGTGAAGCGCTCACGTTTTAAATGGGCCAGATTAAATTGCACATTTATTTACTACAAACAAAGATGATGAAAATGAAGTCTAATCTGACAGTCCTAAGCGTGAAAACCATGAAGGGAAATTTTCAATCACTTAAATAACATTAACAGCAGGGTTATCAGCCGCAATGGCTATTAACTGAGTTTTAATCGATTATTAGCCAAATGATATTAACCGGATTATTATCATTGCCCATCTCTAATCCTGGCTTACAGGAGTTGCAGCGGATTCGCGGTTGAGGCGGGCTATTTCAATTAAAAAAGAAACCGATGGAGTGACGAGGTCATCAATGAAATAAAAAAGTAATTTTTGAACTATTTTATTCAACAGCTTTTTCTTGTATTACATAAAATAATATGTAGTTATGTATATTATAAACACTATGTATTGTTATATTCTCGTATATACAATAGGCATTTAACATAATCGTTGTAAACTATATCACATGTTGACAACTAAACTTAAAATGTTTGTACAAAATATATTACTAAACTATTCACATAGGCTGGTATTTATATTTGTCCGTTATAAAAGCTATATAAAAATATAGATAGGTCTCATTTATGGAAGCGCTAAAGAAGACATTTTATTAACTATGTAGAATAATTTTCTCTATATACGGATGATGCACTTCAAGCTATCAAGTTTTGCAATAGATTTTCGACTTTATTTCAAAGGTAAAAGTTTCAAAATCTAAACAGCTTGGAGTAGCTTGATATGCATTGTTTCTTCAACTGACAATAGAATCTTTATAGATGTTATAAGTATATTTTAAAACAATTCCAGTTTGCCTTTCAAGGTGCTTTTAAAAAGGCAATATTTTTCTGAAATATCTAGCTGTAATGCTGGCCATAAACGATAGTAAAATGTTTGAATGAATGGCACAATATTGCAAGGCAATATGCACAATATTGCAAGTCAATGTGTGCAATATTGCAAGTCAATATGTGCCGTATTGAAAGTCAATATGTGCAATATTGCAAGTCAATGTGTGCAATGTTGAAAGTCAATATGTGCAATATTGCAAGTCAATGTGTGCAATGTTGAAAGTCAATATGTGCAATATTGCAAGTCAATGTGTGCAATGTTGAAAGTCAATATGTGCAATATTGCAAGTCAATGTGTGCAATGTTGAAAGTCAATATGTGCAATATTGCAAGTCAATGTGTGCAATGTTGAAAGTCAATATGTGCAATATTGCAAGTCAATGTGTGCAATGTTGAAAGTCAATGTGTGCAATATTGCAAGTCAATGTGTGCAATATTGCAAGTCAATGTATATTGTCGACTATAGAATCGCCCTCAAATATTTTAAAAATATTACCCGTTTCAAAGCACCTTTAATCAGACAACAGAGTGGCACCAAGTCAGCATATTTATATTAAAAAAATAAAAATAAATCTGTTCTGAATCACACTTAAACTGCAATATATTACGTTTATAATTACGGAACTTAATTAATATGGCTTTCTTAATCCCACTTAAACATAATATGTACACAGTTGAGATCGACCTTACATCTAACTGAAGATCTTATATATTTTGGCACTCTGGACCACATTCCCTTTAAAAATCTACAATACAACATTTACAGTAAATATAAACATTTGATACATAAATAAAGATTAGATTTTTTTGTACAATATTGCATTAGAACGCAAGCTGATTGTATGGCAAGCAGTTACATAATAAACTAACATCTATATAGGATTCGAACAAAACAATGCTTCACTGTTTCATTCGAGACATATCTAACAAACCAACAATTTACATCCAAGTCCATTAAAGCGACCAATCGCATCAAAGTCATCACTGATTTTAACCAATCACAACACTTGATTTCCCAACGACTAATGCTGTAGCAAGCAGTAGGCTGTGCCGTCAGCGTTTCTTCTTTTGACAAGTTCCATCCAGTCTTCTATCCTAGGAGCGCAGACTAGGGAGTACCTTCCCAATCGTCGTCTCGCCATGATGAGAAACTCTCCAGCGCCCGCAGACGCCCCGCACACGGATGAAACGTGCACATGCGCGTGTAAGCTGCGCACTTTCCGCCTTCTATGGTTGCGGTGTGTAGTGCGCTCTAGTGTGTTGTCTACGTCGTATCTGTAAAGAAAATATTATTTAAAAATTTGCTAAAGGACGTAAATGATCATATGCATTTTTGAAGAGATTGTGCCAGTTCAATGCCGTAGTTTTGCACCCGCGGAACTTTCGCATTCACGAATTATTCAACTAACTCTCGAAGTGGTCTAGTAGTTTTTGAGATCATCGCGAAAAGAGTAGTGGCCGGGGTCTTATAGCTAAGCTAGCATCTTATAAAGATGTAAATCTATGTCTATGTGTCCTTCACATCTTACTCCTCGGTGCCCAAATTACACGGACGAGAGATGTAACAAAGATTAACATCACTTATAACATTTTACTGCAGTCAACTTTATGAGCTTGCAGATGGACAACTGGTTCTAGATATTATCAAACAACAGTTTGTTGGGTTTTCCCTGAAACTATGCATGTATATGTAGGCAGTAGGTACATACATACTAAAGCTACTATCTGATTAATTTTGGTAAATCTTATACTTATTATATAAAGCGGAGGAGTTTGTTTTTTTGTTTGGAGATTAGCGGGTTCAGACATGAACGTGCCAATCTCCGTAACTACAAGTCTGATTTGAATAATTATTTTTGCGTTGGATAGCGAATTTATCGAGGATGGCTATAGGCTATAAAATATTTCACGCTAAGACCAATAGGAGTTGAGCAGAGCGTGTGAAACCGCGCGGAAGTAGCTAGTACATAATATGCTGAGACAGCCCAAGTGAACAACTCGTTAATACAAAGTGAATAATATATGGCATCTTATTTTAATAATAGCTAGAATTATCTAATGATAAAAACTTCTAAGTTTATTATTAGTTACCAAAAAGCAATGCTTGCCCCCGACATTTGAGGTAAAAATAATTTAATAGGTACTAATACCTAGATAATTATTTAAAATGTCAAACCCAAAAATCAAGAACACAAATTAATTCACTTTAAGCTTGTTCTTGGACAAAATGGACAATTACTACCTATATAACACCTAATATTTTTAAAACAAAACGCAGACCTAGTACCTAACATTTCTTTATAACGAGCAAAACATTGACCATTGTCCATACACGATTTCGTAATCGCCTAATGGATTATGTAAACGGTCCCTCGCAATTATCTTCGCGGGAGACTGCAATTACAATCTATCTACTTTTTCAATGATTCACTAACAACGATGTGGCGTGTTTGATCTTTGGGTAAATGTCATTTTTTTAAGGGGGTAAAATCATCGAATGGCTTCTCCCGCCTGGGTGAGGCGGAAGGAGTGTCAGGCTCTTACTGACTAAAAACCACCCCGTTTCTACTCCTGCCCTTTGAGCCGGAGCCTCGGCACCCCGTTAAATGACAATAGGCACGGAGGGTACATTGGCACCGCCATTTTTATGTATAACTAACTTCTAGGCTAAGCTAGTTTCAACATCAATAACCCGTCACAGGTTTTTGTTGTCTAATAAATATCTGATTTATTTCGTTGCGGGAACCAAAACAGTTATTCAAGTCCCTGGGACGCGCCGGACTTCAGTGTTCTGGTGTTTTCATGGTTGTATCTACTGTAGATCCTGGCTTATGGTACAGGAGCTGCAGCGATTTTAGGAGGTTGTAGCGGGCTTGACCCATAAAAAATGACCGTGGCAGTCCATTTCTGGTCTATGGGTCTTCTCTAGATAAGAAGGGTTCGCCAGAATTGTTCGTTCGAGGCGGGTTAGAGATCGCAGCTTAAAATGTTTAGAGAGCGGTCCGACCTTTGTCCAATGTGTGTTAATTAACTAATTTTATCGAAAAAAATCTCAAGTAAAAATCGTAGGAACATGTTATCATGTAAGGCTAAAGCTATAAAGTTTCAATTGATCCTTACCTATAATATTCATCGTCTTCCAAGTCAGGCTTGTCTTTGCTCTCTGCTTCGGAGGTGGCTCGGATGAGCTTAGTGACTCGTAGAGTGAGCTGCGTAGTGTCCAGGTCCTCACGGGGTTCACTCATCACGATCACTCCTCGCGATACTGAAATTAACATCATTATTAAAATACTGAATAACCGAACATATAACGACGACGTAAAGTGTTAAGACTGGCAAATGCGTAAAGTACAAAACTGAGAATGATGACAGAAAATCTGCAATTTTCTCCAAATAAACAATTCGCCTATTAGGTATTCATCTACTATATGGCTTTTTTAAACACGCAAAATTAAGTGGTTTTAACTTAAAATAGGTACCTAGAATAAAAATAACACCCAATGGCGTCATCAATTTCTATTAGACTTCATTTTTATTTCTTTACCTGGGTCATAAATTCAGTCAAAGAATAAAAGCTTTTTCATTGTATTTTATTATAATGTTAAAATCGTTAGGTCCATTCGAGCATTATTACGGTATTATAAATATTTAAATTACATGTTTCGCAACTTAATAAAACTCCAAACTTAAAAAATTCCTAGAAATACCTAGTTCGCAATAATAATTTTGTAAGAATAAAGGATTTAATAATAAGTTCCTAACTAATGGAAACGTGCATTCCTTTTATCTAAAACTAAATTATCTATGTTGTGCATTAGATTGTTTTGTTTGATAGTCGAGTTTTGTGTTAATTATAATAATTGCCACGGCACAAACAAATTAGAAGTTGTAAAGTTTAATCACTGAGCTATCTCAAATGCGTGTTTTGAGAACACAACAAAATTGTCTCAGCGACGAGTTTTCCTCCTCACTGAAGCTCAATTTTAAATGTTCAACGGTGGAGCTGTCACGGCGCCATTCGTTCAACTTTATTATTACCTACACCACTTTAATCTGGCCATTTTTAATTTAATGTTTTAGTTAACATATCGATTTGTATTCCATATAAAAGTTATAAATTGGCCACAAGTGTCTTAATGGCACTTAAATGAGTCTGGTTGGAACCAATAGATCCCCCTATTTATCTTCGTGATGTCGGAACGGTTTTGAAAGTGTAGCACATTGTAGCTAGCTGAACAACTCGCCGGGTAAGTACTAGTCGCGACACCAGATTTATTGTTCAGATATTAATCACTGTGTCCTCATTGTTCGCGACGTTTTTTGTCCGTCCCATGAGTAAGCGCAAAATGTAGCCGTATTTTTTCTACGCGCTTTTGTTTGAGCAAGATAAGTGAATAGTCCAAGTCTTTGGTAAACGGTCATCAACCCGAGTCCCGACAGCCGATAATTACATAGAAGGTTCTCTAACGAGCCATCATGAGTCTCGGTACCGCGGTATGTTATCAAGGCAACAGTTAATTTAATTGTTAGACAGTGTTAATAGATACCTATCCGAAATATCTTAGCAGCTCTCTTTGATAGCTACAGTAAACTTAATAAATCTTACAAACAGAAACAATAGAATAATAATATCATATTTCCTGACAATTAAACAATAGCTTGTCATTTTTATTTGACAAAAAAAGGCTTAACACGTACGGGGCCTTTGCCTGAGCCCAAAAAAATATCTGGTTTTTATATGAGGAATGACAAACAAAAAATCAATGATACGTGTTGGAGGCGGGTAATAACGTGAGTGCGCGGGCGACACGGCGGGACGCATGCGCTGCAGTGACATAACTCCTCAACTATTATAATTTATCAAACCAGAAAAAACTATTAACATTAACTCCCTACTGCGTCGCGTGCCGTACGACCATACTAGTCTATCCGGTATACACTTGTCAAGCATCGTCGTTACGGACGTAAATTGAATCTAAGCAGCTCATCCCGGCTCGATCAGTACATATGCTAAAGCTTCCGTGAGTCATGACCAGTATGAAATGCAATCTAATCATTACAGGAGTGCGACTGACTGCTGGCGGCGGCGATACAAAAGCAGAACGAAGCAATGCGAAATCTTTTTTCGGTTGTATTTACGTAAAAATATACAAGATTGTTGAAGATTTTAAAATAACGAGTCCTTTAGATAAACGGTCTCTTACTCTGTAAATAATTCGCGGTAGTTGTGCGCAGAAAAATGATAAAATTATATTCAAGTATAACAACGTTTAATATAATTTGAGGCGCGAGGAATCTCGATGATGGCGACAAATTACTGTGCGGTCGTCGGCGCGGGTTTATTAACATTCAGCGGGGCGAAGGCTCCTGAGTTTGCGATTACTTATTATTGCGGTGGAGGAATAGCTAGAGGAGTAATGAAAATACGTGTGAGGTCTTACCGAGGTCGCTGGTGCAGAAGGCGAGCTCTAGTTCCGAATCTGAGCAAGGTCTGCAATCTGCAGTGTTTGGGTCGTAGTGCCTCCGGACTAGGGGCCGCGCTTCATACTTGAAGGTGGCTTCTCTCCTTTGAGGACCGTCTTCTGGTTCGGCTTCCACATATATCGCAGCACCTCCGTGTCTGCCTCGGAAGCACCGCAGTTCCCTTGGATCGCCATCATTCGGCGCATACAAAGGAACTAATCTTCGCGCGCCTTCCACAAATAGACGCGCAGGGAACCGCTCAGCGACTTCTGAAAGACATGCATTACATTGTAGACAAGGGCAACCATAATTAAATCATTACGTTGAAAGAGTTGTATTCTGGTATTCAAAAAGGGTCCACACAACCGACAATTTACGCAGACCGCTTGCCATCTGTGACCAGCTCTAACTCCATTAATTATGGGTGAGTCTTTATTTTATTTTGGACCAGTTAATTTTGTCAATATGAAATAATGGGCAAGGCAAATAATTGTTAGACTGTACAAAGAAATATTGTTTAATGTTTACTAAAATTACCTGTATCATTAAGTCGCAGTGTATGGAATAGATCAGGCGGGTCTGGTCGCCTTATGACCCTGATGCAGATCTTGAAATCCTTCTCGTCGCCAGGTAGAGGAGGTCGTAAGATGAGGCGTAGGGCTCCTCGAGGGTACATCCATGAGATGGTGCCTTCTCTGCATCGCAGGTACACAGGTGTCACTCCACGCTCCGTCGTTGATGTTAGGCCGCTGGAAACAACATTGAAGGTTAATTTTCAGTCACACTTTTTATCTTCGTCTAATGACCGAATCACTTAAATATATGTTTATACATAAAATTACTACATATGCTACAGCTATAGCTCCACAAACAGCCTAGTAAGTTTATTTATACACGAGCCGAAAGCTGTCTTAATCATATTTGGACGATTTGATTGGAACGCGGCTACCGTGGTCATTAAACATTCCGTGTCCACTGCGACATTGCCGACCGGCTCCAATTATTCCACTCAATAAAATTATTAAGAACACTCAAATTGCTACCGTTTCGAACCACTACATTTTATGAGCCAATCCTGTATCAATATAAAGACCTTATTGTTCCAAAATTATATACGTCTCTGGCAATTTCTATAAGATTTATATTGTCGTCGTCAACAAATTCACATCAGTACTAAATATGGGGTTTAATTTCTTTTCAGCGAACACATTAAAGCTCAGCGTCATTTTCGAACTTGTTGTTCTAAACCGCAACACCATTACCGGTTCTGTTAAATTAGATCAACGCGCAAATCTAGATGAAAGTTTGAGCAGGGAGTGGTAGATTAAGGCACGCGATCGAGGTGTCATTTCTCGTCGGTATCTCGAAGTGCTCCCATAAACAAGCCCCGAGCGGACAATGATATCTGCGATCTGGCACGTGGGCCGCGATTCTGGAGTAGCACCCACGCCGCCGCCGGCCCACGGCGACTGAGCCACACGCCATAAACCTAAAATATACGAGTTATACGACACACCACACTATAAAAGATGCCACGTAAAGATTTTACATGGCCGACCAATAAAACCATAGCGTCCCTTTATGTTGGAGTGCATTGTCTGTGTGGCCCGAGCGTTGTACGTGCATCTACATACATATCGTCTGTATGTCGACACTTTATGTCTTGTAATCTAGTTTCATTTATGTTCAAGGGGTGCACCCTTGCCGTCAGTTTTCTTATAAGTTTTGTCAACAAAATATACTTATGGAAATCTAATTGATTAGCTGTGTTAAGTACAATATTTGGCTCAACCCTTCGTTTCTTGTCATCAAAGTGTACTCAGCACTTGTACTCATACTAATTCCCTATTTTCTTTGTTATTGAATGCTAAAAGTGTAAAGGGTCATTGCTCAGCTCACATCTCACTCCTACGCACAATATAAATGTATCCCGTGTGTCCCAACGCGTACATTAATCAAGCGGCGCTCGATCTCGTCTGACAACGCATCGATTTTCTTTTATTGTGATAGGCGACGGCTATAGAGAATTCTGTCACGTCATATCCTACTTTCACGTCATCGGGAGACCTCCTTAATCCCCGCTAATGGCTGACCGTTGAAAAATATGTGTTGTAAATTATTAACTAATATGGAGTAACAAGTGGAGCTCATGTGGCCCGCCCCTGCCGTCGAGACGAACACGTGAAAGGTACTGCACCCCTGTCTACGGGGGTGAACAACCTTTTAACACAAAAGGGTTTACTACCTGAACTTTAAACTTCAAGTTTTGATGTGATCTCTCCGTCTTGATTAATGCTATTTGATTTGTTAACAATTTGTTTTAATAGAGGTAAATGGTTAACTGTAATTAAAAACAATCATTAAGCTGTGTAGGACGTAGATGTATTTATAGTAACATTTAAATTGAAAGTTGTTTTACTTTGCGTTGTATTTGCGTCACTTGGACAGTGATTAAGTAGACATTTCGGTGTTTTATGTTTCAGGTTGTCCACGGTGCATTTGATAGTATCTAGGGATATTTGTGTAGCGGACTATCTAAATTGCGCAACCAATTGCTATGAGGGCTTGTAAAGCGGACTAAAAACGTCAAGTTGTCGAGCCCTGTCGCCTTCGTTATCGGCGTGCGCTAAGACAAACACACAAAAACAATATACATAAAAACCGCACAGAATTTTTTCTTGTTTCCAAACAGAGACACAAAAAATCTGTGCCGATGGGTGTTAACTGCAACGGCAGCGGCATTTTATGCTTTTGAAACTACAGAACATAATCAAATGTATTTATTATGACAAGAATATTTATAAAACGTAAACCTGTTATGATTTTGAATGTAAACTTAGAAATGATAAAAATACGACGACGCTTTTTATTTACATTCGTATCAAAGTATGCAATCAATTTCAAGCCTTAATGGTTGTGGAATTATGATTCATATTTCTACATATATTATCTAAGTAGTATAAGTTATGGGTGCATAAAACAAAAACAGAGTAGCCGTGGTCCATTAACCAGCAAAGTGTACAAAAAGACGGTCGTCGGCGGATTCAAATTGAGGCAATCCCGGCCCATTACCAGGCAAATGACGCGGGCGCCGATACCGGCCTAAAAGCTGCTAATGTACCTTAACGTCACCCTACTGTAGACCTATCTCTGTCACTCAATAAAATCCTACATCTATCTATCTCCTTCATAAAAGTCCAAAGAATTACATCTAAAATGGAGTCACGCGCGCACTCCAATTAGTGTTTAAATTATTTTATTTTCTGGCACGAGTATGATGTGAACTTTGCAATATGAAATTTTATTCAATTTAAAAACAGTTGAAATGGCTTGTATCAATTAAGTTTGATTTGTAAATCAATTAATATTATTGATGTTAATAGTATGAAGGCATATTTTTCGATGGAGAACCGGTATTTTTGTAGTTTATGCCTTGTGTGGGTACTCTTTCATATGCATGTGAGCTATGGCCTGTGTTTAACAGTTTTTATTAGAAACTGTTCTCAAAGCAATTTTTATTATTCCACATAAAAGATTATTACCAAGCAATAAATTTTCAAATCTTAACGTATTCGTGTTAATGTGCCAAATCAACTAGGAACAGAAATTACCATTCCATTATTGATTGAAAAAAAGACCGAAAAGACATAAAAAAAAATCGAAATCGGACTGGTTATGTAAATCGAAGTTTTGTCGTTACGTTCCTAAATTAAATACCTATCTGAGCTTATTGTCTTTTCCGAATAAAATTGGCAATTTATTTTTGTAACGGTAAAATGATGGAAATAATATTTCTATACAATGTTTACGATGGTTTTGGTCGTATTTCTTGTATGGTTTTGTGTAGAAAGTTCGTTAGTGCACGATAACAGGTCCCATAAAGCGTTATCGTGACATTACAAGAGCCTCGACAGAATAATAAAATAAATGTGTGTTTTTCTACGAAGAGTTTTATTTATTCTCGCCCAAACCTGGCTCGAGATAACAATGTCGCGTGCGTTCAACCTCCGTCACTACTAGGGCTGTGCACACTTCTTTCTCTGTCCGTCCGATTCTAACTAGATTAACACAAAGCATAAAAACTTCTCTAACATAAAAACTACATTTCATAAGCAACTTAAATAGATGTGAGGCATGACACATTCTACGTAGATACATAAAGATCAGAGTAAATCGAAACTAATCTATAATTTACTTACCTATTTCTAGGTAGTATAATCTAAAATATATACAGGCGCGGCAACATAATGTGCAGAGAAAATTTATTGCAAGGTAAATATGAAAGTGTTACAGTTGTTAGCAGCCCTGGTCGGACCACGCCTGCGCAGCCTGCTGCCCACGCGCCGACCATTGTCGTCTACACAGATACAAATTATGTATAATACAAAAACCAAGGCGAATTCCGTTATTGTATTATTTTCATTTAAAAGATTTATTATAAAAGAACTGTACTCCACCGCAATTCAAATCAAGTAGAAAATTGCGATGGGGGAAAGTCTATAATTATGTCTTTCTCCGGGCCGCTATAAAACGTTAGCACCAAACTATACAAACATTTTATGAATGCAATGCCTATCAAAGGTCTATATTCGCTGCACTAACATAAAACAAGTTTTACTGCTGGCTCTTACAATATGGTAATATGCCAGGCATTGTGTCGCTATCGAGTTGCTCTTGTCAAGTCCGCGCTCACACATACACCTTCACAGCAACAAAGATTTATAAGCTTTTAAGCTCACCCACACAACCGCAGTTAAATCTTATAAGAATTGAATGCTCTTGCGCACAAAGGCCTTAGGAGGGAGTAGTCGGAAGGTTTTTTAGTTTGTAGGTCATAGTCGAGCGTACAGCGATTGTAGGAACAGCTAAATAAGCAAAGCAGTTCCGTGATCCAGTTGTCTAACCGCATTGTGTCTTAACTACAAGGCGAATATGTTATTGTATTCGAATGATATACTGGCTTTCGTATCGGACAACTTTAAGTGGAAACGAGAAAAATAGATATCATAAATCATAAATGGAAATGTGTTAAGTACTTTCTAAATTGTTGGTTGTTAATGAAGTTGATTTATATTTAACTAGATTTGGCCCGTGGCTTCTCGCGCGTCATTAAGCACCTTGTGATAATCTCTAAAGTTGGTTATCAGGAAAATGATCTGAATCAGTTCAGCGGTTTAGGCGTGAATTAGAAATTGGCTCAACTGGTTTTAAGGAGCAGGTTTGCAGGTTACCTACATCGATATATTTTTCACAACTTTAATGCAGACGGAAAAGTTTAACTGCCTCAATAATCGACTGTTGTATTACGAATGATTTATCCTCACGTAAGAACCTATCATGGCTGTCATTGATCATCAGCAAGGTGACACAAGAATCCGTTTATGCTCGGAATCTCAATCATTGCAATTATAATTCTTTACCTGACGATTGCCACTCTGTCCACCTGTTGAAGCAGTTTACTGCCATTTCCTCTCCGCCATGCCATCCTGTGTCACCGTACTTTATTACTTGCGATGACTAATCACACATGGTAATATTATCAAAATAGGATATTACTGTGAGTGCCAAGACATGTATGGAGGATTTCCGTGAAACAATGGCTCGCTGGACAATGGTAGGGGCGGACGCCGCGAGCGACGACGCAGCACGTGCGTGCCATTGTATTCATATACGATACGCGCCCGTCGATATAGCGATACATTCGATACAATGCCCAGAGACCAGCTCTATTGATCATCGAGAGAAACTC